TGTGATCTTGAGTATTGAGCGAAGACAAGTAGCTATTGATGAATGTCTGTAGTTTGTTTGAGATGCTCTTTATGACGCGCAGTGCAAGTCTCTGATCCATCCGTATAGTAGCACTGACTGACTTCACATTGGAGTTGAAAATCCGGATCTTATCTTCATTTTGATGCTGAGTGCTGTTCACCTCCTCCACATAGACTTGAGAGTAGTGAAAGCTTGTCTTGCTTTTCCGATCCTCGCTGCCTTGATATCCTCGTCAGTTCCGTCTTCCTGTAGTTGAAACGATGCTTCCCAGGAAGGTAGGTGGGTAGGTAAAGGAGGTTGTTTCTTTCAGGTTCCTCCCATTTATGCTGATTGTTGTCTGTTGTTGTTGTTGTTGCTGTTGGTGGTGTTGCCCAGGAATCTTCATCACTTCTGTTTTCTCTATGTTCACTTGAAGTCCAATCTTCTCTGGATGCTTCTTCTGACAACTTGTTGCTTTTCGCTCGCATATCTTCCAGTTTGTGGGAAATTGGACATATATCATCGGCGAAGTCCAGATCCTCCATGTTGGTTTTTTGTGTGAGTCCATTTTATGCCTGTTTCCTCGTTACCCACCGCTGTTTGTCGGATTATCCAATTTACTTCAATCAGGAAAATCATTGGCGATAGTAGGCAGCCAGCCAGCTTGTCTTACTCCTCTCCTCACTTTGAAGGATTCCGTAAGTTTCCCGTTGTGGATTACTTGGCATGCAGCATTGTCCTACAGCTGTTGGATGAGATGTATAATTGTCGGCGGGACCCCTGGGTAGTAGCGAAGTAGTTGCCAAACCACCTCTCGATCCACGCTGTCAAAGGCCTTTTCAAAGTCGATGAAGTTGAGATAGAGAGGTGACTGCCATTTTCAAGCTTTGTTCAGTGATGATCCGTAATGTGGTGATCTGATCAATACATGACCTGTTTTTCCTGAATCCAGCCTGTTCCGGTCGAAGTTTTTCATCCAGGGCCTGTTTGATTCTCCCCAGGATGATGCGGCTTAGTATTTTGCTTGAGATAGACAGGAGCATAATTCAGAGCCAGTCCTTGCATTGGTAAGTTCAGTCTGTATCAACATGTTTGTTAATTGTAAACTTATTTGATTGTATCAAACTTCTAGGAATTGTCTAGACGTGTTCATGTTCCCTTTGATTAAGATTTTGATATTTTCTCAGTAGAAACGGTATCCATAGTTGTCTGTATACACTGTATACTTCGTTTTTCGACAGCTAATGTGTCTTCATAGATGCGAAGGAGAAGCGGACATTCACTTTATCCAGTATAGAGTGTCTTTCACAGTTCATGTAATCTATCTTATAGATAATACTCATTTCGTCTTCTTTTCGACAGAGTTTATGTGAAAAATGTGACATATACCGATTTGCATATGTGTGTGTGTGGTCACACGCAAATATAGAGAGAGGAGTAATTGAATCTTACACTTGAGGGTGGGAAAACATACATCAGATGAACACAGGTGGTAGGCTGTCAACCTCTTCTGTAGTGAAACATTTAACTGATATTGTAACAACAGAAGACAAGGGCCAGGCAACAGATCAGTTTTATTACGAAAACCAACAGGTATTTATATGTATTTTACGTACATTAGTAGGCTTCTGCCCGCAGAAAGAAGGCGGTCTTCTGATTGGTTGTTTGCAAACAAACGCAGTCTTCTTCTGCTTTCTCGTTTTCGATATTTCTCGGAAATGCGAGCCACTTGTCTGCGAATCATATTTGTCCACGTCTAGGTCAGCTGTGATCGGTTGTTGAATCAGCCTAGATTAATTTCTACCAATCAGCGTAGGTCAATGTCTACCAATCGGCTAGCAGCTTGCTCTCACCACAATATGAATCACAGCAATAGATATTGAAACAGCTTTCAGGTTTATCTCTATAAAATCCATTAGAGGCACATTTGCAGAAATAGGCTGAGGTAATAAGCATCTGCAAAGCCACCCCACTCCCATCCACCTGTATGTACAATAGCGATTCACTGTTACAATTAACCTACCTTGATAATCTTTATCTGATTATGTTACCAAAAGTTGGGGGGGGCAATTATTATCCCTCTTATTCTTAAATTCTTTATCATTTCTTGTTTTAACTTGATTTTCGGATTTTCTGTTGATTGATTATCCCGGACCGGAATACCCGGCCCCTGTTCATATTCCGGCTCTTAGTACGGGTTCTCTAGCGCTGTCTGAGGATTAACATGACGTTATTTTTGTGGCAGGTGACTAGCAGGATGCGTATTTTAACCTGTCTGACATTAGCCAGCTGGGGATGTATCTGCATCCCCAGTAAGTGACAGGGTTCCCCCTGAGACTCGAACCCACTAACCTATGTTTGAAACGATGAAGCGTTATCCACTAGGCCACTGAAGCCATCAGAGACAACACCTCTTATGCAACAGGTGACAGTTTTAATATTTGTTTCCCGGTCAATTTTGCATTTCTCGTTGACTGATTATGCTGGACAGAAATATTCAACCACTGTTCAGCTGTTGGCCCCCTCTAGTACAGACGTTTCGAAGATGTTGCAAGATTAACACCAAGGCGTTTGGTAGGATGGATTAAGTGTAGTTTGAGTCTCAGTGCAAACTATATCACTCAGTGCAGATGTAAGTAAACCCGACTGGGTCAATGAAATCTACAACAGTTAGTCTAAGCCAGCCACGTAGGAAGGTGTAGACTTCCTGATTGATTGGGGTCCTCGGGACGGTAAAAACCAATGGTTGGAAACAATTGGTGACATGGCTCAAAGTGATCGTTCTCAACGGCTGGCGCAGATGCATCCACTCCTTGTGACTTATGATTTCCAATTAAACTGTTTTGTTCTTCGTTATTACTATTCCTTTGTCTCACACCTCTCTTTACTGTCTCTAATATGCATTTTTCCTACTTTCTTCTCTTGCTTTGTGTGCTACATAGGTGCAAAGTTCTGACGAGTCCAAAATAGGATGAGACGCACATCCTGAATTCTACTGTCAGTCACCATCAGCCAAAATAACATCACATTAATCTTCAGAAATCATTGAAGCGTACTTGTACTAGGAATCGACATATTTTCAAGTATTGGTTTTGTAGGGATTTTGTTTGATTGCATGGGGGATTTCATCATGAGCTGACATCAGTTAGAGAACCACTGGAAAACCAGCTGGGAGTACTAGACAGCTGTTTCCTCCTAGTTTGGGAATCTTCATCAGTACGCACCCACCGGGATTCGAACCCAGGACCTTCTGGTTACAAGACGAGCTCGTAGACCATTGAGCCACTGGGACCGGTAGGTGCGTACTGATGAAGAGTCCCAAACTAGGACGAAACAGTTGTCCAGTAATCGCAGCTGGTTTTCCAGTGGTTCTCCAACTGATATCACCTCATGATGAAATCCTCCATGGAATCAAACAAAATCCCTACAAAACCAATACTTGAAAATTAATCTGGTGCTCACTAGTGACTGGCCCTATTCAGGCAGTTAACCTGGGATTCTATTGGGAAGCCGTGACCAGTAGGGTACAGCAGGTTGAAGATGAAGCAGTAACTCATCGAAGAAGACATTGCGAAATGGTCGCGCTATGTCGTGAATTGGTAGAAGTTAGAATTCAAGGACCATTGGATCGGGTCCCAGTGGCTCAATGGTCTGCGAGCTCGCCTTGTGACCAGAAGGTCCTGGGTTCGAATCCCGGTGGGCGGGTACTGCTGAAGAGTCCCAAACTAGGACGAAACAGCTGTCCAGTACTCCCAGGTTTCTAGTGGTTCTCTAACTGATGTCAGCTCATGATGAAATCCTCCATGGATTTGACATGTCTGGCCGGACAATTCACTCCGACATTATCAATCAATGGAAAATAATTATCTTTTAACTGAAACAACATTCAACAACTAAGCGAATAATGAATGGCACAGTGTTTACTTCCTTAACTGGAAGTTTTGTTATTAAGAACGTTTTAAAACTCCACGGATGAATACTACTGAATAATCTGCATTACTGGACAGAACTCTAAGCGCATGAGTGATAAAATTAAAGCTTACAGGAATTTGTAAGTATTGCCTGCAGTCTGCTTCGGCTACCTAAATGTATGGGATTTACTCCATTTTATATTGTTTTAATCAACTAATTATGTCTATGAATCACAATCTGTACTAGCGTACATTTTAAAATAGGTTTCAACCGACTGTAATAAACTTTTTTTTGGAGGAAATTGAGGCAGAACACTGTGGGGTACTGTAGCCTGTTTCAAATGGTGCATTATCAATCATTATTATATTAGAATTTAATTGGTGGATGGTGACTAGCAGTGGAATCCAGGACAACATGCATTTCGTCCCGTTTGGGACTCGTCAGCTAGTGGATGTACCTGCATTCCCCAGTGAGTGATGATGTTCCCGCCGAAGCTCAAACCCAATGCTCATAGTTTCAAACGCCAAAACGTTATCCACGGGACCACATGGGCCAGGATAGCCACCTCTTGTGCATTGTTGAAGCATCTGCACAAGAAGCTGACATGTCAACCTGAGACCAAGCACTTCGGTCCAATCAGTCGACGGGAAAATCTAAAATTCAACTATATGTTATCATATTACTTGAAGATTATGCACAAGAAGTAAATACGTGCAATAAAAACACCCTGAAAGTTCTGTATTGTGTACAAACGCATTTTTTCGGACAGAGCTGTTATTGTCACATAAAAATATTGTACGAAATTAGACTGAAATTATCAAAATATGGGTCGGTAGTTCAGTTCAGGGATAGATTACTGGTCAAACATGCAAATGCTCCAGAGTTTGATCCCTGGCCGACGCACTTCTAAACTTCGCTTAGTCGACAGTAAGCCTGATATAAAGATGGAAGGTAGAGGTGTGAGGCTGGCAACCTCACCTCGTAAAAAACATCAATGCCACTGAAATTTCAAAACTCAAGCTTGGAATTCTATGCCCCATTCGACATGCAAAAGAATATACACTTATTTTAAAAAAAGATAAACTTACTAATTCTCCTTTTAAATTTCTTCTTCCAGTAGCCAACGTAGGAGCAGGTTTCCTTGTCCTGCCTGGTGTTTGTGGACATCCACTACTACACGTGGGTGTAGGCGATGCTTCACCATCATCTGATGAACATGTGAATTTATTCCCAGCGAATCCAATTGTAGACGAATCCGGTGTCATGGTGATTGTACTAGTCACAGGACTTGCTGTAGAGACAACCAACAGTCTAGTTGGCGTTGAAGCACTTCGTTGAGCACTTCGATTAGTCGACAATGCTGTAGTATTCTTTATATCACAATTAATTCTTGAATGAATAAGATTTTGTGCACAATTTAAATTTGTTGGACTATTCGATGGATTTTCATAGATTCTTTCACCAAGATTACAATAACCATTCGATTGATACGCTGGATGGTGTTGTGTATGACTTACACCACCACCACCAACGGTGGTTATATGCTGTGTACTACCACTCGATTGATTCCCTGAGTGTTCCTCATGTCTTGGTGTTGGACATGAAGGTGGACAACGATTCATTCCCTGAAAATCTGACATATTACCATTTGGAGGCGAGAGTACTGCGAAAGCATCTCCACATGAAGATAACTGTTGAGCATCATCCAGTACATGCGGACGAAATCCACTCCTAGGAGGGATTTTTAAGTCATCCGTCAGTGAATTACCACCACCATTCCAATGTCCAAATTCATTTTCTGACATATTTGAATAAGCCATATAATCATTATTGTAGGGTATTGCATCCGTGATATTATCGTATTGTGATGTCATTAGGTTACCTCGTGAAGGATAATTATTGTAGTTACTTCGTGTACCGTTATGATAGTTATGCGTTATCGTGTCAGCACTACTCCCACCACTGCTACTACTAGTTATACTCACAGTAGTCGTATTGATAAAGGATGTCGATTTCAGATTCAGTGATTGTTCACGATGATTTAAATTCACAGCCTCCGGGTTATTATTTGCATAATTTAAACCGTTTGATGGACAGTAAGTGGTATTCTCCCGATTACTGTTATTATTGTTATTATTACTACTACTATTATTATTACTATTAGTATTGTGACTGCTATGCGTATCCAGCATGCTTGATGTTCGATTATAATCTGATTTCGATTGTAACAATAAATGTGGTGCAGGCAGAGATGTATTACGTCGACGTTGATGTTCAATAGGGGTATCATTGGTGTATGAAGATGAATTCGCTGCAGTTAGATGACTCATTGGATATATGGAATTATTATTATTATTATGATTACTATTATTATTATTGTGAATATTATGATGAAGACTAAAGGTTTCAATAGTTGATTTGGTCAAATTTCCATTCGGTTCATGTATTAACTTGCTTGGACATGCAGATACTGTCGACATGATTCAATAATTCGTCTGTTCGTCTGTTCGCCTGTTCGTTTGATTTTTGCAGCTTTTCAACAGATTTTGTAGACAGAGATAAATCTAAACGAGAAAAGAAAGTAAAAACAAAAAATTATAATTATTTTAAAGAATCGGTCTCCAAGCAGTTGACTGGGTTTTAAGATTAATTAATTACGAAATGACTACACTTAGAGGATCAATCGTTGAAGTTGAAGGAAGTATTGGACAGGTGTTTCGTTCTAGTTGTGGACTCTTCAGCAGTATACCCCCCACCAGTGATTGAACCCAGGACCTACAAGTTACAAGGGGAGCTAGCTGATCAGTCAGCTGCTGAAATGGGGTCTAATTATTCGCATGAATTCCAACTTCTGCTAGCTTGTGATACATATACCGCGACCGGCAGCTAATGTCATCAGAGTAGAGTATTTTCCCTAACTTGTTGGATCTCACTGACAATGACTTCCTATTGGGGCTTAAAGCAACTTCATCGTGTAGTTGGTTAGTCACTAGTGGGCACTACATTAAATTTTAGCAGTTTGATACAGTGTAGAATTCTCACCACGATCACCAACCATTTAGGTTACAGATATCAGTCAGAGAATCATTATAAACCACCAAGAAGCACTGAATAGTGAGTGATTCACAAGACTAACTTCCAAGACTAGTATGAAAGCAATGCTTCTGTATGTTTCAGATACTTGGCTTGCTCGTCACCAAAATCTTTTATCAACAGCTGTCGTCTCTGATCCGATATTGAAGATCAGAGGGTTGGACAGATTGGATCAGCAACAAGGAACTCTGGAAACCAGTAAGTCAGAAGGAAATGGAGATAGATGAGACACACACACACTGAGGAGATCGCTGAGTGACATCACGCACCAGGCCATCAGTCGAGTAAGACCTGAATGTTAAACGAGCAGTTGGACATGAGTTTGACGGCAATATAGAGGAGATCGTGGGGAGAGGAGACGAATGCTTATATGGGCGACCATGGAGCCATATAAGGTAGACTGTAGATAACAGGATAAATTGAAAATGTCTTACTGAAGCCCCCATATTTCACTCAGAATCCAAGGGAATACCGATAATATATTATACATTAATATATAATACATTAATCTCTAGCTTCTTGACACACATAAACTCACTAGTGGAGGGAATAAAATTCACATTTGAATCGAAAGATGAACAAGGAGAATTAGCTATGTTAGATTGTAGAATAAAACGAATAGAAGAACGTAAACTTCACACTAGTGTTTATAGAAAACCAACGCATTCTAATGGATATTTAGATTTTAATTCGTCTCATCCGTTAACTGTTAAGGCAGACTTAGTTAAGTGTCTAAAAAACCAGGTAGTAGCACTATGTAGTACAACAAAAAATTTAAATGATGAAATGAAACAAATAGAAGAGGCGTTGGTGTTAAATAACTATCCCATAAAATTCATTAGGAAGATTGAAAAAGGCCGAAAGAAAAATAAAAAGAATTGCGAAACTAGTAATAATAACATAAATAAGAGAGAATATAAATCATCTACAGTTATACCATATAAAGAGGGGACACCTGAGACCCTACGTAGGACTATAAATAAAGCAGGAATTAGGGTGGTGGCATTCAAACCTACAAACTCACTCAGGGACAAGCTCTGTAGGTTAAAGGACCCAGTGGACCCAATTCGACAAAATAATATAATTTACAAAATACCCTGCAATGACTGTGAAGTCAACTACATAGGTCAGACTAGTAGGTCAGGGGTAGTCAGATTGTCAGAACATAAGAATTTAGCCAAGGAAAGAATGGTTGACCCAGAGAAGATAAGTAATTTAGAAAAAAGCTCAGCAATTGCAATGCATGCATTAGCACACAACCACACAATAGGATGGGAGAGGGTTAAAATTCTAAAAAGTAATCTATGTAGGTGGAGAGAGAGGTTGATTACTGAATCCTTGTTCATCGAATCTACACCCAACACATGCAATAAGAATGATTCATTACTCATACCCGAAATATGGAAAATATTACTACCAATCAAATCCAGTGAAAATCAAGTGAAAAACAATGGAACTATATAAATGAATTTAGGAAGTCGTGTGATTACCTTGATATGATTATGAGCAGCAATAAATTGTGCTCGAAACGTCATCAGTAAACATTACTGTACAACAAACACTGTGAGACTTTATCAAAACAAAATTTACCCATAATGGAATTAAGTTGACATCGAAAAATTCATACAGTACTAATGATTCAACGTGCATTACTCAACAACCCCATGTATATTAATGTACTTGCTAATATGCCAATGAGTTATACCCTAAGGTGTGAGAAATGATGGCATCTAATGGCTATCTAATCCTCAGTTAATGGAAAACGCATCGAATCTGGGATGTACTCATTGGAAGTTTAATGTCTAATTCTCCACTGGACAACAGATCACGTTAATAGTAGTATTAACAATGTATCACACTGACTATTTTGATGTAGTTGTTTGTGTTCTCTGAGCTGGATGGTTTATCTGCGAAGCTTTCATTGTCTCACTAGACAACATCTTCAGCGCATTCGTCGAAATGAAGTTGTTGTTATTGTAGGGCAAAGAAAACTTTGCAAATCAGCCTTCCAGCTCAGATAACATCAAAAACTACATCAAAATCACCCAACTGAGCTACAAATCTTCTCCATTATATCATCTATCATTCTATTCACTAACTTACTGTGAAATTTCATAGTCTACCGTAGTGTCCAAGTTTGATTTTAACATTAGTCTAGTGATCGGTGTGAATAGACCTATATCATACCTAAATATCAGTTAACAATAAATCTACCTAGTACACACACACACTTCATTAATCATCGCTGTTTTCTAATTCACAAATGTCAGAATGTCCACTATGCTGAACAGTCAATGTGCACATGGTCGTTAGAGGTTACTGAGGTAAGATATTATTATTATTAATGTTTCCTTTAATTCCTAGAGGAACATACGGCTTCAGCCACACGTCTCCATTGCGTTCGGTTCTCTCCTAGAGTCTTCACCTAGTTCCAAGTCTGCTCACACACTTTCATCTCCTCTTCACATCACCTCCTCCAAGTCACCCATCCTCACACTGACGACCAACTCGCCACTTCCCATTCAGTCGAGTTCCACTAGAGCAATGGCTTGTCTAGTGATGTCACTTGATGGTTTGTTTCCTCAGAGTATGGCCACCAATCCATCTCCATTTCTTCCTGCCTATTTGTTTCACAATCGGTTCCTGCTGAGTTGGTTCGCTCATTGCCAGAGATCTCTGTTGCTGATCTTTTCTGACCGGCCATCTGATCTTGAGTAGTATTGAGCGAAGACAACTGTTGATGAAGGTCTGTAGTTTGTTTGAGATGCTCTTTATGACGCCCACTGCAAGTGTCTGATCCATCCGTATAGTGAGTAGCACTGACTGACTTCACATTGGAGTTGAAAATCCGGATCTTATCTTCATTTAAATGCTGAGTACTGTTGACCTCCACACAGACTTGAGAGTAGTGAAAGCTTGTCTTGCTTTTCCGATCCTCGCTGCTTTGGTATCCTCGTCAGTTCCGTTGGCCTGTAGTTGAAACGATGCTTCCCTGGTAGGTAGGTAGGTAGGTAGGTAAAAGAGGTTTTTTCTTTCAGGTTTCTTCCATTTATCCTAATTGTTGTCTGTTGTTGTTGTTGCTGTCAGTGGTGTTGGCCAGGAATCTTCATCACCTCTGTTTTCTCTATGTTCACCTGAAGTCCTATGTTCTCCGGATGGTTCTTCTGCCAACTTGTTGCTTTTCACTTGAATATCTTCCAGTTTGTGGGAAATCACACATATATCATCGGCGAAGTCCAGATCCTCCAAGTTTTTTGTGTGAGTCCATTTTATGTCTGTTTCCTCATTGCCCGCTAACTGTCTGTCGCATTATCCAGTCTACTGCAATCAGCAAAATCACTGCTTTCACCCCCACCCTAAAAGTATGGTGGAGGTATGAGGTAAGATAAGCGTTCGTCAACTGAAATGGTATAGAAATAACGCTTAATTGCTGTTCACTGTTCTTGTCAATGCTCTATTTGAAACAATGAACTTAGATGATAGCATGACATCAGCAAAAGGACCCCCCTAAGGTATGCATGATACTGAATCATTCAGATAGAACCTGGTATAGTCAGGGATGGGCAGAATTAAGCCTTTTTTCCTTTTGAGATGCTTTCATGTGGTTATGCATTCATAGCCTACTTCTGCCAGTTAAGACCTCTTCACTATCTTCACGATGCGGAGATATTCCTCAAAAAAAACCCAGTGAAACGTTGAATTTGAACGTCTGGCATCTACAACAGCTGGACTGGTGAATAAGATGGTCTACCTACCTAAGGTAGGTTGGAAAATCCTGGTCTGAAACCTATAGTACACATATGGGTACCAGAATCCTAAAGGGTTGAACAGAGTATGAATCATGTTTGGTTACCGTCAACCGTAAGAAGTCGATTATTAACGCTACTCCCTTGCTTTGTGGATCAGACTTAAAGTCAAAGGCTCGGGATGCGGGTGTCTCCTTAAAACAACCGCCTGCTTTGGACTGTGTCCGGGCAGTATCCTAGTTCTAGCACAAACTGTAGGATTTTGTGTCTCCAGTCTGTTGGTGTCCACAAAGTAGCAAGTTTTGTTTTTAATAATAATGATAATAGCATAATACAGACAGAACTGCTTCACCTACTACTAAAATTAGCTACATTATAGACCATACGTTGATAGATAGATAGATAGATAGACAGGCGCATACATCAACTATTATCAAAATATTTTAGAATTTCTATTACTAATATATATGTCTGTCTATCTCTCCCTATCTCTCTCTCTCTCCTCCTAACTATCCATCTCTCTTCTTTTTCAGATTCTCCACAAAAATTTCCCAATGATTGACCTTCTAAATTTTTGTTCTAACTAACCGACCTCTCGTCTGGTTACTGTTATTGTTGTTGTTGTTTCAATGGTTGACACACATCTATCATCTCACGCTGTGACCTTGACATAGATGTCGGACTCTCCAGCTTTTGTATATTCTGAAGTAAAAATTTAACAGTAA